CCTGCCCACCAACCCTCAAAACAAAACCAAGACAATGGAGATAGGGAGCCAAGGGCCGTGAAAGAGTTGGGACCTCTACCTGGGTAACCCAATTATGCAGAGATGCTGCCTAATAGTCTTTGGATCCTGGGCTTCTGTTTGATACTTTAACATTGTTAATGATAATTCTTTAGTCTGTAATAGTAGGTCATTGCTATGGTTACTCTACAATGGTGCAACACTTCACTTTCCCCTTCAGCTATTCGTTGAGACCCGGTAACTACATTTGTTGCCTAGCAACAGTTCTGTGACAGTATCACAATCTGGGGGTGACAACAATGAGGGACACAGTGGCCATGGCCTGTCAGGTGGAGAGGGATGCAGTCCAGGKTGGATGATTGTCCTTGCAGGACGTAGGGTGACCATCAGTCCCTGGGGATACAGGGCGGCTGTTCTGACACAGCACTGGCTGCACACGCCCTTCACACCCCTGTCAGGATGCTCCCCTCTATGCATCCATCCACAGAGCATCCTTGGTGAGTCCATGCACGCCGTCCCCTCCAGAGAGTCTTTGACGGAGGCACTACCTGTCACACTGCACGCCCCTGCTCCCTCACAGGCAGCCATCACACAAGCACCTCCAAAAAACGCTCTCTGGAAAGACACTACTTCCCACACAAAGAGACGTTTTTGTACAAAGAGCATACACGTCACGTGCACACACAGATTTTCCTCCCCCTCTCTGCACTCACTGTACGGAGACAATTTATGAGTCTTCCAGAAATTTCCCACATGCTCCTTTTATAAAATGCTTTCCACCTTCAAATTCACCCATTGTTGTAGAAATTCTCTTTGCTGAGAGGCAGTACATCCTATCAAGTGATGGACTTGGCAATGTTGGGACAACGGTCACTCTGTGATCTCAAAGGTCATGTCCAACAGAAAAAATCCTACAATTCTGTSTTGCAGGTGGCTTTCAGTGCAGGTCACCTATCCAATCCCCTAGCCATATTCACTAAGACTTGTTCCCTACCTTGGAAATACGGAGGCATCCCAGCACAGCAGGAGGATAAAACACAACCCTCCCAGCACAAACTGCGGCCTAACAGACATGTCCCTGAGGTTATGGCTTGGCTGGGTATACTGTAACTGCCCACTGTCACCTTGTACATGAAAGTCAGCTACCACAGCTGAGTTTGTGGAGGGATAGGCTGCACTAGCACACCCTAAGGACACTCTGGAGTGGGGGTTTCACCTGCTTCTCACATGCTTGTGTCACACCATATGGTAAACACCACTTTTGAGCCCTGAAAGCAGAACAACTTTCCATGTGGCTTTCTGGTCCCTACACAGACATTTCCCACAAAAACACATCTTTATCATTTGTGCCTGCCTGTATCTCTGTCCTGATTGTAATAATCCTCATTAGTACCCATAGGATTAAATTAGAWGAAAATATAGGCAGTGAATATTGTTTTTTCTCCTCTTTCTTTCTCTTTCGTCTACAACCTTCCTCCTCTGTGAAAGCCAAGCATAAAAACAAAATGACAAAACAGTTTCTGAGACATCCCTGTCTTTCTTCATCCTGTCTTCTGCCATGCACTTTCCACATGTCCTCAAGAGAGATCATGCTCACATTCACTAGCGTTACTGAAACTGATTAACCTACAGCTTTCCTGTGGCAACTCCTCTCAACCCACTCTTCTCAAAAAACAATTCAAGCTTTGAGTCTAGAGGGACTCAATGATTCAGCAGTCTAAAGTAATTTTAACACTCCCTATTTTCCCTTTCCTAGTAACAATCTTACTGGCAGATGAACAATTTCCCTGGTGATAAAATCACTACAATGGATATTTAGTTTCCAGGATTATGATGATTCTTTGCTTGATTAATACTGCAATAAGAAAAGCTTGCTAAGTATCTGCCTTGGCCCTTTATAGTCATTTTTAAAGGTCAAATTTTGCCCTTATGTATTCACATTCAACTACTACTAAAGGGAGAGCCCTAAAAATTTAACACTGCACAGACTGTGCATTTATGATTTATAATAATTTATATTTCCAAAGGCTTGGAAAATTCAACTGAAGCAAGTGGAATTATGTCCTAAGGGTGGCAACAGATTTGGCCATAAGATTATTGTCAGAGGAAAAATATCATTAACAACTGCAATCTCAATTGCGTATTTAGCAGTACACAGATCTAAGCTAAATGCATCTATTTTTTTACAGGAAGAATAATTTTCAAGAGACAGACAATAAGAAGCAGTTGCTCTAAAGCCAAGGTCCTGTGAGATAGGTATTCTTAGGGCTCACGGATTTCAACAGCCATGATGATAAACCACATGATTCAATATATTGTATTAATTGATGGGCTGTTGCACAGCATGTAGTAGATTTCAGATATTAATTCTCTGAGAAATCTTAGGAGCATGCCGCATGGAAAAGAATAAAAAACCTGTTAAGTGTGGGAAACAGCTAGAATATTCTAAAATATGCAAAGGCTACAACGGTAGAGCAAAAAAATCTAAATCCCTCCTAGTTCCAGCCCCACAGAGAGAAATGACAGAAATGCCAAAAAGCAAACTAACATCCCAGTTGCCAGCATGGAGAGATGTGGGGGGAAATGAATGTACATTTTAACATATTGTGGGACCAATAGCGTGTAAGGTGAAATGAGTAATGACTGTAAAACAGTGAACAATTTCCAGAATCAATTTACCAAGCACCACAAAGAGATATAAAATTAGAAATAATGAAGACTTGCCAATACAGTTGTTGATACAGAAAGTCAGGTAAGGGAATATTTAAAAAAAAAAATAATATCCAAATCATCAGGGCTGGATGACCTGCTTATGTGGGTTTTCAGGGAATCAGTTAATGACCTTGCTGGACTACTGGCAATTATTTCTGAGAATTCATGTACAATCAGGTAGGCACTAGAGGACTGGGGTGGGTATGAAAAGAAAAAAAAAATTCTAAATTGAGAAAAGGAGAATTAATTGAAACTAACTACCACACATTAAATTCATGTCTGAATATCAGTAAAGTTAGAGATCAGCATTATAAAAGATTACAAGCAACTTTTGGATAACAGTAGATACAACAGACTCAAAGTTGACAAGAACAGATAAAATCCAAACTTACTTAACTAACAAAAATCAGCAGGTGAGATACTTATCTATCCATTGCTGCATTTTCCATACATGTCAACCTGGCAACCCTAGGGCAGCGGGAAACAATGGAATCACTTAAAATGGCTTATGACCTTCCCTGCTCTAATAAGCTGCAGTCAGTCTTATGTCTCACTTGCAAATCAAATGTTTTATGCCAGTCAAGGAGCCCCCAAACACTTAAGATCTACGGTAATGCAGCTCCCAAATGTGTGCTGCCATCTAGCTCTAGCTGCCAGCAGCATGTCCACCAGCACCTACAGTACACGTGGCATCTCCACAGGGCCCAGACTCAGCATCTCATCTCATAGATGCAGAGTTATGCCTCACTCATTGTACATTATCTCAGACTCCAGAGCACTGGCACACTTCTGAGGAATTGGGTAAAGCATTTGAGAAGACAAATAAATAATATGGTGTTGAAAATGTATCTATGAAGTCCCAGAGGGACTTGTGTTTGGGCTCAAAGTCTTTTAAGGTTATTAGTCATCTGAAAGAATATTGAAAGTATAGATGTTGAATATAGGAACAGGATGTTGAATACAAGATAGTACAAACGGATGAAAAAAACAAAGAAATAATAGTAATTAAAAGGGCAGCCTAAATGGGCAGGGAAAATAGAGAAGAAGAAAAGCAAAGATTGAAACTGGGAATGGTGCCTGCAGGGGTGGCCATGCAATATGACCAGGTGAAGGATCCTGATGGCCATATGTACAAACACATGCAAAGATATTTTCACTGTCTTCCCTTCCCACTTCCACTCAGGAAAAGCAGCTCTTCACCCAGCAAGGCTGACAAACTCCTCTGCCTGAAACCAGAGGGTCTGCAGAGAGAAGAGCTGTGCAATCCACGTAATTCACTCTTGCAGAGCGATTACTGGCTGTGCAGGACAAAGGTGCCCTCCTACGGCGCCTGCCCACGGTGTCAGACAAAAGCCTCCCCCCGCGGTGCTCAGAAGATGCACAGTACAATGGTAGCCCCCCGCCGCGTTTACAAGATGTGTGGGACAAAGGTTTCCTATGCTGCACAGGAGCTGGGAGAGATCTTCATACATGCCTTAGCGCTGAAATATTTCTGCAGAGAAAAGTTTCCAGCTTGAAAAGCTTCTCCACAGACACTAGCCACAGGGCTGACCTCGGGTCTGCTTCTCTA